GTTGAAAGATTTCTCTCTTGTTTTAATATGCAGAGTGAGCTGAAGCTGAGACTCATCAAGCTGAACTGGCAGAAGTCCATGTGTACGAGAGTAAAGAGCACAGACGAGCAGGCCAAAACTGATGTCAAGGTATGAAAGCTCAGTTGTTCCCACGCTGACTTTGCATACATACAAATGACTCAAAAATTGGTGGTTATATAACCTGCTGTGGATTTATGGTCCATGAGGAGGCCTTGATGCTGAATCTCAAACATCTACATCTCAACAGCTCAAAAAACAAGCCTTGAAGGAGAAGATCGAAGATGATGTTGGTGCCCTGGTTCAGTTTTTGTTGGATGAGAAGGATGATCTGTTGGAAAGGTTGGAGGTCGAAGCGGAAGCCACTATCGGGCTGATCGACGCCAACCTGAAGCGGGTGGAGAGCGAGGCAGCCAAAGTGGACAAAGCCATCACTGAAATTCAAAACCAGCTAAGTGACAGCGCTAACTTCGAGGTGAGGAACTTCATACCTCCAGTAACTGTCCATCTATTATAAAATAAAATGCTTCGAATTACACAAATATACTTTTTCAGTTCAGAAGAATTGCGCTCTTTTGGTCATGCATTAAAGGGTTAGTTCACCCAAAAATGAAAGTTCTGTCATTAATTACTCACCCTCAGAATTTTCATTTTTGGGTGAAATATTTTCCACATTTTCTGAACTGACGTGGCTGCAAAATATGCAGTATATTTTTACATGAATTATGAATTTTATTATTATAAATGTTCTGAAATTTATTAATAAATAAATGGCGACAAACATGCTACACTTATGGTTGTAAGCATAAAATGGAAATCTGAATTATAAATTTGAACAACCTATAATTTCATATTTGTTAATTTGAAGCCCATTTACAGTGAAAAAAGAAAACCAATTTATTGTATTTACATATTTATGACAGGTTACACAAAGAACAATAACTATATTAGTGTCCACAAAAATGTCATCCATAGTATGATAATGCTGCGTTTATTATTAGGATGTTGAAATTTTGCCACCTTAAATGCTCAAGCTATTTGAAGTTGGATGGATTCTGATTGGCTGTCGAGGTTTTAACATTCATCAGCTGGAAAAAAAATTCTGGAAGTGATTCCAACAATATCTTTCATCTGTCATTATCGTTATAGTTGAAATCTGGACAATTCTATTCTCACAGAATTAGAACAAATGATAAAAGGGTATAGTTATTGTTATAGTTGTCATCTTTGGTGTAATTACATTATATATATCATTACATTATATCTGGCCATGTATTTTTATATATTGTTATTGCTTCTTTGCTTCTCACAATTGTGACTTGTATGACTTTGCAGCGTGACACTATTATTATTATTATTAACGTTTTTGGTTTTTTTTCCCCCAGAGTATCAGTAATTCATACTTAAGGTATGTAAATCAGTTTTTTTTTAATCAGTTTAATTCCTTATCTTGTTAGCTATGATTATATCTGCCCTGCTAATAATCTGGGTATTTTTAGTGTTTGTCTCTCATAATGTGTTTTTTTTCCTCAGCTCCTGTCACATAAACCTCAGCGTCCAGGCCTTTACCTCTCCTCCAGATTTCTCAGAGTTCACAGGCCCCTTTCAGCTCATCATGTGGAAGAAGATGATGCACGTGTTACACACAAGTAAGTACTGTTGGTGCATTAAGGTGCGGTCACATTATTTGGAGAATTTTTGCCAGCGAAATCCAGTCATTTCAGTTGGAATCTATGATATTTGGAAATTCATATGAATTTCTCGTTGACCAACAGAAAGTAGCTTCATACGTCACTATACTATTGACAATGGACTTTTTTAGAAATTTAGCCAAAATGTCACTAATGTGAACACATTTTTACCCCCTCAGTAACTGCATTTACATTACCCTTCAAATTGCGCAAATTGAAATTGAAAATTGAAAATACTCCCAATGGAGGATTTCGCAAAAATACCCATATATCACATAAAAAGGATTTAAGCCCCATTCACACCAAGATCGATAACTATAATGATAACAATATTAGCGTCCACACCAGAGAACGATATCGACAGTTTATTGTAAGCGCACATGCGTCTGCCGCTTTAAATTCTCGAGCTCGTTATAGAAGGATGGATTCTGATTGGCTGTCAATGTTTGTATTGTTCGTCAGCTGGAAAAAAATCGTTCTGGAAGTGTTTCCAACTATATCGTTTCTCTGTGCCTTTATCATTATAGTTGTAGTGTGGACTATGCTATTCTTTAATATTGAGAACGATTTTTAGAACTATATCTTTATCGTTATCTTTAAAGTTATCGTGCTTGATGTGAACGGGCCTTTATGCTCGCATGAGGTGGCTTTTCAGGCAATTCGAAAAATAAATATTTCAGTATATACGTTTTTTTTTGCATTTACAGGTATATGTAAAAGTCACATGATCATTCTTCAGTGTACTATAACCTCCACAAGCACCTCATACGTGGCCACTCTGAAGTATAAAGGGCTTTCCTTGGCATTAATGCTTGTATAACAATTTATTTACACTGCACACGTCTGATTAAGGCTCCGACATGGCTACCGGAGCAAGTGGCTCTCCACGCTGCTTTGCTAAAGATACTCACCTACGTCTCCTTCGATTAAAAGTAATGGCTAGTTTGGTGGCTGTGATTATATACATAAACCTACCAACATCCGTCACCATGACTTATCGCGAGAGGAAAAATTACGTTTTAGTCGCATAACATCGGTTAATGGAAATGCTGTAATTTCGCAATAGTTTTTTATCAATATTTATAAAATATTCCAAAGATTTTGTGCAAATCTGTAATGGAAACAACAATCTTAATAACAATAGTATGATTTTTATTTATAGTTTTTACAACAATCTTTTTGTGAGTTTTTAGTTACATGCTAAACGGCTAACCAGATCTTCCTTGTTTTCCAGTGCCTCAAAATCTGACTCTGGATTTAGACACGGCTCACCCATCATTGGCCATCAGTGACTTTGACACCAAAGTGGAGGAGGGCCGCATGCGTTCCCAGGAGCCCGACATGCCGCAGCGTTTCACCCGTTTCTTCGGGGTGCTCGCTACCGCCCAGTATTCCAGCGGGCAGCACTACTGGGAGGTGGACGTACGGGACAAGGGGGTCTGGTATCTGGGCGTCACCACCGAGTATAGCAACCGCAAAGGTTTTGTAAACCTTTCGCCCTCTGCTGGCTACTGGAGCCTGTGTCTTCAAGACCGACTGTACGCCAACGAGGAAGACTCGCGCGTGCCCGTGGCGGACTATTGGAACTCGCCTCGTGTCGGCATCTTCTTAGATTACGACCGGGGCCACGTTACTTTCTTCGACGCCGTCACTATGAAACGCATCTATAACTTTGTCACATACTTTGACGAGCCTGTCTCGCCCTTCTTCAGCCCAGGGAAAAACGACCCAGGCAGCAGACTACAAATATGTCATTTCTACTGAAAATGAAGCGATGCGTACGTGCAGTTCGCAACAAAGAAAACAAATAACGATAAATGCTCCTGTTTTTGTGTTTTGGTAAACATTTCAGGGCATTTTCCCTCCTGGAAGTAGGGAGGATGTTTGTTCTTAAGCTCTGCTGGGTTTTTGGATTCAGTTGATCTGAATTTACTAGTTGCGTAGAGCTTTGATACACCATAATCTGAAGGAGTGAATTGAATTTCTTTTGCTCTTGAATTGTGATGTAGCCCCACTGAAATTCAGGTAGAGAGGCATTGCAGGTTTTTTCGCAAATGTCGACTTTAGCTGCTCTGTGTCGTCTTATGTCTTAGACCTCAGTGTTGTCTTTTGTACAATAGTGTAGAGGTGAAAATAAGGATTGAATCAGGTGAATTTTTTTTGGATGTTTAATGTTTGATGACAACATTTCAAATTGGAGAAATTCGTCAAATGATTTGGAAAAAAATATATTTTTATTTTAACTGCTTAACTGCTGTGTATTCCATTATGTGGCATATATTCACTTTTTCCCCCATGTTACATTTTTCATTTTTTACATACTTTTTGGCACAGTTTTATCTGTAAAGGATGTATTTGTTAGACAAATTACCCTGTAATGTAATGAGTGTTACATAAGGATCTGTGTTCAACATTTCGTAATAGCTCAGCCTGCAATAGGTGCTATGCAACTTCCAATATGACAAAGTAGATCAGATGTGCTGTGAGGAGCGTCCTTCTGTTCATTTAATTATGTAGAGATTCATTTTTATAAAGCAGTACATCCGGAAGCTGTGTGCCGTTCATGTTACATCATTTTAAAGTAATTTTCAAATCCATTATATTAAATATTTTAATCTTTTGTTTTAGCTGTAGTCTAATATGAGAGATCAAAAGAGAGATGCCGTTAGGACTGAAACGAGCACAAAGTTACATTTCAGTATTTTTTGACTGAGCTCAGATGGTTTGTTGTTCATGTTGCTATTTACAGAACTAGTTTAAATGCTAGAATCACTGCAGCCATTTGTACAAAATATCGTTTGAGCTGAGAAAGGACCAAGAAAACACTGTACCAGAACCAGATGTTTTGTACATATGCTGTGAACATGAACACTTTGTGTTGCCCAGCTAAGAACTAAGTTTCAGTTAACATTTATAGTACTTTATTAATCACTGTCTATTTTTTCATAAGAAATTAGTTCAAGTTGAAAACATTGACTGTATTTTTAATTTTTTGGATTCCTTTCAATCGCTGATGTAAGAACTGTTACATCACCTAACTGCTGGATGTTATCACGAGTACATTTTACTTTTGTGTGACTTGTTAAAAACCACTGCGATGTTAAATGTTTTTCTCTGCAGTAACAGTCATTTTAAAAATAAAATATTACAATGATTTTTTTTCCCCTCAATATTTCGTATTTCATAGAACCAAAGTTCCTTCTTTAAAATATAAAAATCCATAGTATTTAACATTTTTTGAAGTAAACCATTTGGATTCAAAAAGACAAAATATAATTTTCAAGTGACTTGTATTTACAGTTTTATTTCAAACTGCATTAATTGACCAGTAAAATGAACATACGGTTGATTCATGTAATACAAGATCTTCGTTGTTTTTTTAAACTGATGAAGCACATTTATTAAATCATCTGTCCAAGCACTAGAGCATGCGTTGGATGGAGTTAAGGTCCGTTCACAATATGAAAAACTATTATTAGCGCTTGCACCGATGGACAATAACAGTTTATTCTAAAATGATTCTAAATTCCCAAACTATTGCTGTGGTGTGACTTTGCAGTGACATTAGCGACATTTTGCGAGGAAAAAGTCCATTGTGCTTTGTGAAACTTGACAATAGACAGTGGATCAATGCGCCGAATTCGAGTGACCAACGTGAATTCATGAAATGTGTTTGGAATTCTTTTGCTTTAATGAAAAATTCCTGATCTTGTGGATTCTAAATTAAAATAACACTAAATTTTGCTCGCGAAAACTAAAATTGACAGCAACTTTGTCAGCGAGAGCGATTTTATTGTTAAAGTTACAATTACAGTTACCATTCTTATTGTGAACGGGCCTTTATCGCAACGGAAGCAACTAATTGTCAACTTGCAATTCGCATATATTATGAATCAATATAAAGTATAGAATATTTGTTTTTGGTTATTACATAATTTTTTTTAATTTCCAGCCTGGCAATAACAATTCATTACAGGTGTCTCGCTGCAGCAGAAACCATATGCCAATGCTAGTCAAATCAGTAACATGCAAAAATGTACTTTGCACAGATATTAAGATATACGTTCATTGTTTCAACTGTGAGCCACCGTTCATTAACCTTGTACAGTATCACAGAGAATAGCCTATTAAGGAGACTCAGTGTCACATAACCTTTCAAGAGACAAAACTCCACAAAATTAAAGGGAGGTGATTTTTGAAATCATTCGCTGGTGATGGACAACCTCGAAATGAATCATTCAGGAAAATGTGTACAAAACATTAAATAAATAGATAAATGAAGCATTAACTATAATGCTGACTAAAGACAACATTTGGTTGCTACACTGTGAGCACAACGTATGATTATTTACAGAGAAGAGCTATAATTCCACATAGCTGATCATTTTTAGAGAACATTAAAAATCAGAGGCAATATATGTGAAATACTTGGGTTTGATTATATTTATATTTCTTCGTTCAGCTGGATTTTTCAACATGTAAAGTAGCCTTGTGCTTTAGAAAAATAAATAATTTGGAATGGAAAAAATATGTCCTTTTTGGCTCCTTTTGTTTAGTGGTTACATTTTTTTAAAGCGCACAGCAGGGATGCACATCACTTCCTGTGCTGAGGGATGATCAGCTCAGATGTTCAATCTGAATGATTTGAACTGAAAGTGCTCACCGAATAGCTCAGGTATAGTGAAATCTCAGTGGCAAATGCTGTCATAGGACAATACAAGAAGCCAGTGTCATTTACATGTTACATACACCAAATATGTTAATAATATGTACACAGATGTGTATATTTACAGATGCTGTTGCAGTCATGGAAAGGTCAACATCTATGAAACAGTAGAGAGGAATTTTGGAAATAATTGACTTTTCTGCAAGGGTTGAAGATGGCGATTAACAAAAAGTTTTGCGATATATAATTTTATTTATACACAACTTACATGATTTCTAATAAGAATCTGTGCTTATTGATATGGTTTCTGTTATTTACAATCAACATTGCCGGTTTATTAGAGAAGCAGTTCTTAATTTTGGAACATGAAAATCAATAGATTAAAGAAAAGTGCAATCTGTTCATTCGATTCTTCCTCTCTGGTTTGGCTGAGGATTTCGCTGATATGACTGCAGACTGTGATGAGCCGTTACTGCAGGTATCGGTAGACTTTGAAGCAGTGGTTACCAGAATCGGCCACCACAACGTGGCCGTCGGAGGTTAAAGCGAGGCCCTGCGGCCCATACAGAGGGTCAGCACTTGTGTTGATGTAGGAGAGGAATGAGCCTGAGCTGTCAAACACCTGAGGGAAAAAATGAAAATGGCCTTAAAAAGTGCTTCTAAAGAAAGTGACTAGTTTCCTGGAGAACTTGGAAAGAGGAAGTGGGTGTTTAGAGGATTCATTACCTGTATTCTGCTGTTGCCCCAGTCTGCTACAATGATGTTGCCGTTAACGTCAACAGCTACCCCTGTGGGGGCATTAAACTGGCCGTTTCCCTCTCCATGGGACCCGAATTTAAACAAAAACTCCCCATCTGCACTGTAGACCTGAGGAGATACGAATTTTAATCACCAATATTTAATAGAATGATACATTCTGTAACTTTTCCCCTCATTAAAAAGTTTTACTGATAAGAAATGAATAATATATTTAAAATCATCAAGTCAAAAAAAAAAGAAAATATATATAAAATTTTTTTTTTTGGGGTGGAACAGGCCAACTCATGGGGACTGCCATTTTGAAATCACAAGACCAGACGAATACTACTCACTTTACCTCAGTTACCACCATTATAGGACACTTTCACTCATGAAATAAATGAATCATGGCTGACTGTTAATAATTCATTTTTACAAAGACATCAGTAACTGAAATGTATTGGTTTTCTGTAAGGATGCATCCACACCACTAGGTGTCAGTCAAGTCAAGCACGATTACCAAGTAAAACACAACTTAAAAGATTACTAAGAGCATCTTTTTCATTAACCTGTTAAAATATATGAAGGTGTGACCAAAAAGATGACGGTAGCCATTGACTTCCCCACAGTATGGAAAAAATTCTATAGAAGACAATGACAACCGTCAACTGTTTCTTCAAAATATCTTTTTTTGTGTGTTACTCATACAGATTTGGAACAACTTGACAGTGAGAAAATTATGACAGAAATTAAATTTTTGGGTGCACTATCCCAAAATTCTCTATGATATTCTGGTCTCCAAATACGGTTCAGTTCCCTTCCTTCAGTGCATTTTTATGGTCTTTTATTGTCGACCAGGTGAAAATTTGTAAGTATGACCTCAACATCACTCACCTTGACGGAGTGGTTATGAAAGTCTGTAACGACAATTTCATTCTTGTTGTTGACCGCAACAAAATGCGGACCTGCATGTGAGAAAACAGAAAAATGAGGGAGAAGAGACATTCAGACATGATAAAGATAAAGAGAGCATAGAAGAGAGCAGGATGTCATGTGATCAAGATCTCCTAACTGATCAGATAGATTTTGTGATGCTCGCCAATTGGATTTCTGGCCAACTTTTGGTTAGATACACAAAGCACAGAATCATAGACTCTTGAATTCAGTTCTAGAATGAAACTTAATTCATTTCAATAAGATCAATCACCACATTCTGGGATGAGAATTCACTCAATACTTACTGAACCCAGGGCCAGATTTACTAAACTTTTGCTCCAGTGCAAACTTTGCACCACTTTTGTCTAAAAAGGAATGGGAAAAACACAAACAAGGGTAAGCGGAGACAAATAAACGACAGGCCAGAAGGGATTCAAACAAATAAAAAAAGTGTAGGAGCTACTTCAAAAATATGGAGCAGACCAGAGGAACAATGGAAAATGCACATCCCAAAGCAGTCCGCATGCACTTACTTAACAAGGGTTAGGAAAAGCAACTGATATATTTAAATAGTAAAATAAGCAGCAGAAGGTAAAGTTTTTGATGAACTACAAAAAGCATGACTAATATGAATGCATCTATTAGAATATAGTCTCTCAAATCTATGCATGCTAGGGGTGGGCGATATGGCCAAAATCTCATAGCACGATATGTAACAGGTAACAATATAACTATTGACTATATAGATAGTTTTGCTTTAAATAAGTTCTTTATGATATCAAAATTTTGATATCATAGAAATTTGATAATTTTTGTCACCAGTGTCAACATCACAAAAAAAAATAATAATAAAAATAAAACTCAAGCTCACTGAAGACGAGAAACTCAGTGATTGAATAAGAATAAGAAACTAATTACAAACAATAGGACAAAAACTACAGTAGAACAAATAAATAAGAAATGCTACATTATATAAAGTTATCAAATTTATAACAACACTTCTTCACTGTGTAAATTAAATATATATTTCTTCTTATTAAAGTTACAAAAGTGATTTAGTCAAGAGCAGTGAGAGATTTTCTCTCTTTTATTGTTTGATTAACATGAATGACAGACAGCAATATTAGACTGCTGTCACTTTAAGAGCTGCCGGATCCATTATACTGTCACGTTTTTTTTCTCAGCTGTTTCCTTACACTTAAGACCTACTTTGTTTAAGAGGTTACTTGCAAATATGGGCATTTTGACACATTAAAGTGTGTGTATTTAACCGTTCAAGGCCTATAAAGCGGCAGAAATAACTCTGTTCCATACTCCCGCGCTCTATGAGCACCGTCTTCACGTGCCTCTCTGACAGCACTCACATATAGCGAAATTAGTTCTCTTTTGTTGCTGATTGCATTTCAACCACAATTCTTAAAAACGCGTGCAAACAATAAGTGTTCGTGACCACGTAGCACACCAATGATAGTCCAAAATCGCTACTGGTTGACAATTTCTACCAGTTAATCGTGTCTACCGGTATATCGCCCATCCCGCATGCTTTCATTATTTATCAGACAGATAATGCAACTGAAAATATGGGTTATGCTAAAGTAAAATACAGGAACAGAACTGACACAAGTTTACATCCTTTCAGACACTGGAACTGAAGCCTGTGTAAATCTGGCCATTTCTGTATTAAACAAACCAGTCTTCTGGGGCGTTTGTCTTCCCAGAATGATTCTTTGTTGTTGCTTTTGTAGTGAAAAAAATGTATATCATTTTTTGGGGGGCGTTTGTTGATGAACTGCAACATTTTAGGTTACAAGAAGAGCTCCTGAGCTAGACAAATGAAGTATTAGGAAGATATATTAGAAGACAAGCAGTTACAGCACACAACACGGGGTGTTAACACACAACTTCTCTTTAGTGCTTACAGTAGATAGGTGAACCACCTATTTATTGTCATTGTGTTGTAGTTTCTACCCCCCCGTACCTGCGAATTGTCTGTCTGAAGTGCCTCTGGCTCCAAACTTGGTCACTAGTTTGCCATTAGATTGAAAGATGAACACACAGCAGGCTTTATTATCCACTGCAATGATATGACCGTTCCTATCCACAGCCACTCCTTTGGGTCCCATCAGACGGCCTGCACCGATCTTATTCTGCATGAGGCACAGACAAAAAGGGAGGGAGGACCTTATTAAATGGCTCTTAAAAATACTTGATTCGGGTTAGTCGATCATGGCGCCGAGTAAGAAAATAGAATGATTAATATTTACTCAAAGTCATAATTCACGTCAGTAATTTGGAATGGAAAAAATATGTCCTTTTTGGCTCCTTTTGTTTAGTGGTTAAATTTTTTTAAAGCGCACAGCAGGGATGCGCATCACTTCCTGTGCTGAGGGATGATCAGCTCAGATGTTCAATCTGAATGATTTGAACTGAAAGTGCTCACCGAATACCTCAGGTATATGAAATCTCAGTGGCAAATGCTGTCATAGGACAATACAAGAAGCCAGTGTCATTTACATGTTACATACACCAAATATGTTAATAATATGTACACAGATGTGTATATTTACAGATGCTGTTGCAGTCGTGGAAAGGTCAACATCTATGAAACAGTAGAGAGGAATTTTGGAAATAATTGACTTTTCTGCAAGGGTTGAAGATGGCGATTAACAAAAAGTTTTGCGATATATAATTTTATTTATACACAACTTACATGATTTCTAATAAGAATCTGTGCTTATTGATATGGTTTCTGTTATTTACAATCAACATTGCCGGTTTATTAGAGAAGCAGTTCTTAATTTTGGAACATGAAAATCAATAGATTAAAGAAAAGTGCAATCTGTTCATTCGATTCTTCCTCTCTGGTTTGGCTGAGGATTTCGCTGATATGACTGCAGACTGTGATGAGCCGTTACTGCAGGTATCGGTAGACTTTGAAGCAGTGGTTACCAGAATCGGCCACCACAACGTGGCCGTCGGAGGTTAAAGCGAGGCCCTGCGGCCCATACAGAGGGTCAGCACTTGTGTTGATGTAAGAGAGGAATGAGCCTGAGCTGTCAAACACCTGAGGGAAAAAATGAAAATGGCCTTAAAAAGTGCTTCTAAAGAAAGTGACTAGTTTCCTGGAGAACTTGGAAAGAGGAAGTGGGTGTTTAGAGGATTCATTACTTGTATTCTGCTGTTGCCCCAGTCTGCTACAATGATGTTGCCGTTAACGTCAACAGCTACCCCTGTGGGGGCATTAAACTGGCCGTTTCCCTCTCCATGGGACCCGAATTTAAACAAAAACTCCCCATCTGCACTGTAGACCTGAGGAGATACGAATTTTAATCACCAATATTTAATAGAATGATACATTCTGTAACTTTTCCCCTCATTAAAAAGTTTTACTGATAAGAAATGAATAATATATTTAAAATCATCAAGTCAAAAAAAAAAGAAAATATATATAAAATTTTTTTTTTTGGGGTGGAACAGGCCAACTCATGGGGACTGCCATTTTGAAATCACAAGACCAGACGAATACTACTCACTTTACCTCAGTTACCACCATTATAGGACACTTTCACTCATGAAATAAATGAATCATGGCTGACTGTTAATAATTCATTTTTACAAAGACATCAGTAACTGAAATGTATTGGTTTTCTGTAAGGATGCATCCACACCACTAGGTGTCAGTCAAGTCAAGCACGATTACCAAGTAAAACACAACTTAAAAGATTACTAAGAGCATCTTTTTCATTAACCTGTTAAAATATATGAAGGTGTGACCAAAAAGATGACGGTAGCCATTGACTTCAAAAAAGAAAATATATATAATTTTTTTTTTTTTTGGGTGGAACAGGCCAACTCATGGGGACTGCCATTTTGAAATCACATGACCAGACGAATACTACTCACTTTACCTCAGTTACCACCATTATAGGACACTTTCACTCATGAAATAAATGAATCATGGCTGACTGTTAATAATTCATTTTTACAAAGACATCAGTAACTGAAATGTATTGGTTTTCTGTAAGGATGCATCCACACCACTAGGTGTCAGTCAAGTCAAGCACGATTACCAAGTAAAACACAACTTAAAAGATTACTAAGAGCATCTTTTTCATTAACCTGTTAAAATATATGAAGGTGTGACCAAAAAGATGACGGTAGCCATTGACTTCCCCACAGTATGGAAAAAATTCTATAGAAGACAATGACAACCGTCAACTGTTTCTTCAAAATATCTTTTTTTGTGTGTTACTCATACAGATTTGGAACAACTTGACAGTGAGAAAATTATGACAGAAATTAAATTTTTGGGTGCACTATCCCAAAATTCTCTATGATATTCTGGTCTCCAAATACGGTTCAGTTCCCTTCCTTCAGTGCATTTTTATGGTCTTTTATTGTCGACCAGGTGAAAATTTGTAAGTATGACCTCAACATCACTCACCTTGACGGAGTGGTTATGAAAGTCTGTAACGACAATTTCATTCTTGTTGTTGACCGCAACAAAATGCGGACCTGCATGTGAGAAAACAGAAAAATGAGGGAGAAGAGACATTCAGACATGATAAAGATAAAGAGAGCATAGAAGAGAGCAGGATGTCATGTGATCAAGATCTCCTAACTGATCAGATAGATTTTGTGATGCTCGCCAATTGGATTTCTGGCCAACTTTTGGTTAGATACACAAAGCACAGAATCATAGACTCTTGAATTCAGTTCTAGAATGAAACTTAATTCATTTCAATAAGATCAATCACCACATTCTGGGATGAGAATTCACTCAATACTTACTGAACCCAGGGCCAGATTTACTAAACTTTTGCTCCAGTGCAAACTTTGCACCACTTTTGTCTAAAAAGGAATGGGAAAAACACAAACAAGGGTAAGCGGAGACAAATAAACGACAGGCCAGAAGGGATTCAAACAAATAAAAAAAGTGTAGGAGCTACTTCAAAAATATGGAGCAGACCAGAGGAACAATGGAAAATGCACATCCCAAAGCAGTCCGCATGCACTTACTTAACAAGGGTTAGGAAAAGCAACTGATATATTTAAATAGTAAAATAAGCAGCAGAAGGTAAAGTTTTTGATGAACTACAAAAAGCATGACTAATATGAATGCATCTATTAGAATATAGTCTCTCAAATCTATGCATGCTAGGGGTGGGCGATATGACCAAAATCTCATAGCACGATATGTAACAGGTAACAATATAACTATTGACTATATAGATAGTTTTGCTTTAAATAAGTTCTTTATGATATCAAAATTTTGATATCATAGAAATTTGATAATTTTTGTCACCAGTGTCAACATCACAAAAAAAAATAATAATAAAAATAAAACTCAAGCTCACTGAAGACGAGAAACTCAGTGATTGAATAAGAATAAGAAACTAATTACAAACAATAGGACAAAAACTACAGTAGAACAAATAAATAAGAAATGCTACATTATATAAAGTTATCAAATTTATAACAACACTTCTTCACTGTGTAAATTAAATATATATTTCTTCTTATTAAAGTTACAAAAGTGATTTAGTCAAGAGCAGTGAGAGATTTTCTCTCTTTTATTGTTTGATTAACATGAATGACAGACAGCAATATTAGACTGCTGTCACTTTAAGAGCTGCCGGATCCATTATACTGTCACGTTTTTTTTCTCAGCTGTTTCCTTACACTTAAGACCTACTTTGTTTAAGAGGTTACTTGCAAATATGGGCATTTTGACACATTAAAGTGTGTGTATTTAACCGTTCAAGGCCTATAAAGCGGCAGAAATAACTCTGTTCCATACTCCCGCGCTCTATGAGCACCGTCTTCACGTGCCTCTCTGACAGCACTCACATATAGCGAAATTAGTTCTCTTTTGTTGCTGATTGCATTTCAACCACAATTCTTAAAAACGCGTGCAAACAATAAGTGTTCGTGACCACGTAGCACACCAATGATAGTCCAAAATCGCTACTGGTTGACAATTTCTACCAGTTAATCGTGTCTACCGGTATATCGCCCATCCCGCATGCTTTCATTATTTATCAGACAGATAATGCAACTGAAAATATGGGTTATGCTAAAGTAAAATACAGGAACAGAACTGACACAAGTTTACATCCTTTCAGACACTGGAACTGAAGCCTGTGTAAATCTGGCCATTTCTGTATTAAACAAACCAGTCTTCTGGGGCGTTTGTCTTCCCAGAATGATTCTTTGTTGTTGCTTTTGTAGTGAAAAAAATGTATATCATTTTTTGGGGGGCGTTTGTTGATGAACTGCAACATTTTAGGTTACAAGAAGAGCTCCTGAGCTAGACAAATGAAGTATTAGGAAGATATATTAGAAGACAAGCAGTTACAGCACACAACACGGGGTGTTAACACACAACTTCTCTTTAGTGCTTACAGTAGATAGGTGAACCACCTATTTATTGTCATTGTGTTGTAGTTTCTACCCCCCCGTACCTGCGAATTGTCTGTCTGAAGTGCCTCTGGCTCCAAACTTGGTCACTAGTTTGCCATTAGATTGAAAGATGAACACACAGCAGGCTTTATTATCCACTGCAATGATATGACCGTTCCTATCCACAGCCACTCCTTTGGGTCCCATCAGACGGCCTGCACCGATCTTATTCTGCATGAGGCACAGACAAAAAGGGAGGGAGGACCTTATTAAATGGCTCTTAAAAATACTTGATTCGGGTTAGTCGATCATGGCGCCGAGTAAGAAAATAGAATGATTAATATTTACTCAAAGTCATAATTCACGTCAGTATGTGGAGATATACCGTTCAAAATCGAGAAGATTTAAATTAGTGCTGTCAAACGATTAATCATGATTAATCACATCCAAAATAAAAGTTTTTGTTTACATAATATATGTGTGTCTACTGAGTATATTTATTATGTATATATACATACTCTCACATACAGCATATATTTTGGAAATATTTACATGCATATACATTTATATTCTTATATTTTATATAAATATATTTAATATATAAACATAACATATTTTTCTTAACTATATACATGCATGTGTTTGTATTTATGTATTTATAATACATTTTTTCCACAGCGTTCAAAAGTTTGGGGTTGGTAACTTTTTATTTCTTCTTCTTTTTCTTTTTTATTATTTCTTTTTTTTTTTTTGCAGTTTTTTTAATGAAGTGTGTTCGCCAAGGCTGCATTTATTTTGATCACAAACAGTAAATTACAGTAAATAACAGCAATATTGTGAAATATTATTACAACTTAAAATATGGTTTTCTTTTAAAATATATTTCAAAATGTAATTTATTCCTGTGATGCAATGCTGAATTTTCAGCATCATTATTCCAGTCTTCAGTGTCACATGATCCTTCAGAAATTATTCTAATATGTTGATTTGGTACTTAACTACATACAACCATAAGGGTTCTCAATTTATATCAAACGGCTTTTGTTGTCTAATATTTTGTGGAAAACATTTTTTCCTCAGGATTCTTTGATAAAGTTCAAAAGAACAGCATTTATTTGTAATATAATTTTTTGATTCTAGATTATAATTATAATGATTATAAATGTCTTTACTGTCACGTCTGATAAATTTAACTTGTCCTTTCTGAATATAATTATTCATTTCTTTGACTTAAAAAAATTAAGTGATTTCATAATACATCAGCGTTCAAAAGTTTGGGGTTGGTAACTTTTTATTTCTTCTTCTTTTTCTTTTTTATTATTTCTTTTTTTTTTTTTGCAGTTTTTTTAATGAAGTGTGTTCGCCAAGGCTGCATTTATTTTGATCACAAACAGTAAATTACAGTAAATAACAGCAATATTGTGAAATATTATTACAACTTAAACTATGGTTTTCTTTTTAAATATATTTCAAAATGTAATTTATTCCTGTGATGCAATGCTGAATTTTCAGCATCATTATTCCAGTCTTCAGTGTCACATGATCCTTCAGAAATTATTCTAATATGTTGATTTGGTACTTAACTACATACAACCATAAGGGTTCTCAATTTATATCAAACGGCTTTTGTTGTCTAATATTTTGTGGAAAACATTTTTTCCTCAGGATTCTTTGATAAAGTTCAAAAGAACAGCATTTATTTGTAATATAATTTTTTGATTCTAGATTATAATTATAATGATTATAAATGTCTTTACTGTCACGTCTGATAAATTTAACTTGTCCTTTCTGAATATAATTATTCATTTCTTTGACTTAAGTGATTTTTTTTTTTTAAATATATTTTTTTCACAAACATCTTAATTGTTCCAAACTTTTGAGTGGTAATGTATACACACATATAAGCTGTAAATTGTGATCTAAACATTACCTTGAACTTCCCATCAGGGGAGAAGATGCTGATCCATCTGTTATCATAATCAGCTACAATTATGTCTCCATTTGTGTCGACTGCCACCCCTGTCGGCCTCTGCAGTTGTCCTGGAGAACGACCCCTGACCCCGAAGCGCGCTTTGAACTGCCCATCATTGGTAAACACCTACATAAAAACAAACAAACGATCCAATTTTGCATTAAATGCAATAAAACACTTTCTATATGTCTTCGTTGATCCCAAGTAAAACACACCAGCTGATTACTTCAATATCCATTAAAACGCTTCAGATAAAATGAAGGCTATAATTTTCATAATATTGCCATGCATTGACTAACCTGTATACACTGGTTGTTGCTGTCTGCTACAATGACCCTCCCATTAATGGAAGCAGAGATGCCCTGTAGATTGGTGAACTCTCCCTTCTCCCGTCCACGAGAGCCTGAGGGGTCAGACAAAAGAAATTCACAACCATTCAAAATCAAAATAATACACCAATTCGGTGTTTGCAAACAGTGATGACGTTTTCTTGTGGGCGGAGCCTATATGGTGGCAGAAAAAAAATAACACACTATCGTTGAGTTAAATTAAGTTATAAAGTCCAAACCAGGAGATATATACTTGCATTTGCGAGAAGAAAAGTCCGAATTTTGAGATAAAATAGGTAAATGTTATGTAAAATGTAGTATTTCATGCTGTAACTGTAGGGCTAATACAACATGCCCCCTATGGACTGCATATGTGAATATTATGTAGACCTATTGTTTAAATCAAATTTATGCTTTAAACGTAGAGCAATCACAGCAGGGTTCACCCATAGTCTGTCCATTTAAACGTCTGCGTTTAACTTAAAATGGCTTCTTTGACGACAGTATTCAATAAAAATGATTTGCATTCCGGTTCTGTCATCCAAAGGCACAAAAAAAAGTATCTTATTCCATGGATTTTACCTATTTCCCTCCAATTGTTACCAGTGTTTTTCTGCCACCACAAAGCGCACGCAGCTGCGAGTGACGTAACTGTGACGTCTACTCCAAATATCTATATCACAACAATTTAATGTCAAACTTACTGTGCACAACTTACTGTGTGGTTATCATCCACACCAAAGTTTCTTACCTACTCTATAAATTAGCTCATCTTCAATAGGGTTTTCCTTCTTTTTGGTAGTGCTATACATGCTGGAGGGTCTCCGTACGGCTTTCTGCCTGATGTGTCCTCCTGTTCCGCTGGGAGATTTTACCCTCCTCTTCACATCATCCGGAGACTGGGGTACGTCCGACGGCTTTATCGCCCGCAGTCTGAACGGGCTGCCCCGCACAGGCTGTCCGTACAGCATCAGAGAGAACGAGTACTCCCCTTCGCTCTTAAGCGTGTACCCTACCTCATAAGTTCCATTTTTATTGTCCACGACCTCCACCTCAGCCGCACGCACTCCGTCCTGCCCCGTTATTTCGGCTCGGAGGACAGCATTACCGGTCCGCACGAGCTCGCTGTCCTTATCCTTAGTGGTAACAGTTACAGTCACGTGCTGACCGACCAGCGCATGTCTGAGGCCTTCTCCTGTGGCCACGCTGGTGTGTCCCACGGCTCCCGTCGTCAGCAGGACGCCCAGGTTCTGGATGGAGCGTCGCAGGCCTTCTGTCTCTATCTGGCAGTCCAAGTGGGCATTCTCGTGCGGCCGTTCAGGGAAGTCGTGACAGGCGAGGGCGCTCACACGCTCGCTCATCTGCTTTTGGACCAGCAGGACTTCGGTGGCGCTGCCATGGTTCAGGGCCTGCTCAGTGAAGCTGCAGCTGCTCTGGATGTGCTCTTTTCCCTGCAGTAGGGATGATAGCTGCGCCTGAAGCACCTGCAGAGGACACCGCAGAAAAGAGCGTTAGAGAGATAGGAGAGTATAACCTGTTTAACCTATCAAAAGATTTCTGACCTTCTGCTTGGTGCTACAAATGTTCTCCAGATCGGTGATGAGAGCGGCTTTGCGTTGGTGCAACGCCCTCTCAAGCTCCTCAAATGTCATGTTGATCTCATTGACGGCTTCGTTCTTCCTCTCTATCAGCTGTTGAGAGATTTCATTCACCAGCTCAATGGCAGCTGTCAGTTGGGGCAGCCTGACCGAATAAAAAACAAACAAAAATCTCAGGTAGAAGAAATTTTAGAAGGGAAATTATGGAAAAGAGCTAAACAGTCTGCAATATTATTCACAATAATGACTTAAAACAGCTCATAAAAGCATTCTTTTATTCTGTGTAGTCACTACTAAAAGGATACTTAATTATTATCATATATTATTTTATATTCATGTTTTTAATATTATATTGTAATGCCTTTTATAAATATCTAAAATATTTTATCAAATACATATTTATATTTATATACATTTATATATAAAACATAAATTAAATAAAACTTATATAACTAATATTTTGTTCTATACTTACTCATTAGTAAAATGAGACTTAATAATTATCATATATTATTTTATATTCATATTTTTAATATAATATTGTTAATCATAATTGTTTCATGCTTTCTAAAAAATATATATATAATATTTTAATAAATACATATTTTTATTTAGACACATTTATATATAAAGCATAAATTATATTAAAAATAATACAACAATAAATGTTTTTGTTCTATATTTAGTCACTAGTAAAATGAGATTTAATAATTATCATAATACATGTTATATGAATATTTTTGGAATATATTATTCTATCATTATAATATTATCTTTAGTTTTATTACTATAAAAAATATTTTAATAACAAGTACACACACACACAAATATATATATATATATATGAAACTGTATAATAATATATAATGTATAAATAAATGTATGTATGTGTTATTATATAAAACTAATATAGCAACGATACATTCATTATTATTGTTATTATTATATTAGTACTGTTATTTAATTTGAAAACAAAATACACAATTACATATATACATAATATGTAAACACATTTAAAATTATATATGTATGCAATATGCATGTAGTGTGTTAATATAATAATAATATAATTATTATTATAGTTATTATTAATAAAGTGAAGAAATGTATATAACATCTGACTGTTAAGTATGTATGTCATGTACCTGTTGTGTATGGCATCCAGCTGGTTCTTTAGCGCTGCTTTGTGCTGTTCTAGAACATCCCGCAGTGGAACGGTCACATGCTCCCTGTGTTCCCCCTCAGTGCAGTCCAGGCACATGGCCGTCTCACACGACTCGCAGTAAAACTCCATCACCTGCAGGGGCACCAGTGAGCAACCCATTCATTCAGCATTCTAATGGATTATCAAAGGCTGCTAATGAATGCTAACAGGCCCGAACAGCGTAAGCACACATGTAGTATGACTTTGAAGACACATAAAAGAAAGAAGCTGGCAGCTTCAGGTGTGTTTCAGAGGAATGAGAAAGAACAATGAGGACAAAGTGACAAGAAAAATTGGCTCAAATGTAGACAAAATGAGAGGTGGTAAAGAAATTGTCATTCACTTGTAGCTGTACAGGCATTTCTACATTCTGGCTGCAATTTTACCAACAACTGTTTTGATGGCTTTTCCTTCATATTCCCACCAAATGTTGCCAAACTTGGTTTCATCATCAGATGGTAAGAGGCTTACATTGCCCTCGTGATTGGGGCAGGAGAGCGGTTTCCCAGCGGCTGCTGCGCTGACAGACTCCAGCACGCTGCAGGCCTCTGGCCGAGAACATTCTGGGTCTCTCTGCAGCACCTCCATGAGGTTTGTGATGAAGAAGTTGTTCTGTAGTGCAGCCACACCTTTCTCGGGCAAGATGGAGGTCTGTCTGCACACCGGGCAGGACAGCGTCAAGGACTGAGGAGGAATGTAGTTCTGTAGGCACCTGTGATATAGAGAGAATGACAGACATGATTGAAGACCTCAAACAAAATCGACCAGTCACTATTATCAGTCAATATTTGTCTTAAAGAGATTCAATTTTCAAAAAAAATAAAAAATCTCTCGTATAGTTCCAAACCCTTCTGTGGAACACAAAAGGAAATGTTTTGAAGAACGTTCACACTGCTGTTTTCCTAACAGTAGATGGGGACTAAGGATTGTCAAGCTCCAAAAAGGACAAATAAGCACCATAAACCATTATAAAATTAAACCATATGACTACTGCACTACTGTATATTTCAAGTCTTCTAAAGTCATACAATAGCTTCGTGTGAGGAAACAACTGAAACCTAAGTCGCCATTCACAATCATTTTCTGGAAAGGAGCAGCTTGAATAATCTGCTAACTCCTTTTTTGTTCCTCGGAAGAAAGACAGTCAAACAGGTTTTGAAAGATGAGCGGGTAAGTAAATGACGACAGATTTTCAATTTTTGTCAAAAAAAATAAAAATAAAAATGTCACCTTAAAATGTAAAAGTATCCTAGAAATATATATACATACATACTGTATATATATATACATATATATATATTAGTGATGTCAAACGATTAATCGTGATTAATCGCATCCAAAATAAAAGTTTTTGTTTACATAATATATGAGTGTGTAC